CAAGAAAGTGAAGCGATACAGGAGGTACTCACTCACCTATGCCAAGAAATTTGGAAGACAACTATCTGGCCAACTGATTGGAAGAGATCTGTATCTGTGCCCATTCCAAAGAGAGGTGACCAACGGATGAGGAAATCATCAGACAATCTCTTTGATATCCATGAGAGTAAAGTTTTGCTAAAGGTAATACAGAAACGGCTGCAAACATACATTCACAGAGAACTTCCAGAGGTTCAAGCCAGATTCAGAAGAGGCCGTGGAACGAGGGATATCGTTGCTGATGTGCGATGGATGTTGGCTGAAAGCAGAGAATATCAGCAAGATGTTTACTTGTGCTTTATTGACTACGCAAAGGTTTTCTATTGTGTGGATCATGACAAGCTATGGACAACATTGTAAAGTATGAGTATTCCTGAACACTTAATTGTGCTCATGAGGAATCTGTACCTGGACCAAGAGGCAGTTGTTCGAAAAGAACATGGGAACATTGAGTGGTTTAAAATTAAGAAAGGTGTGCGACAAGGTTATATTCTTTCACCATACTTATTCAACCTGTATGCTGAGCAAATCATCTGAGAAGCTGGCTTATATTAAGAAGAACATAGCATCAGGATTGGAGGAAGACTTATTAACAACCTGCGATATGCAGATGATACACTTGCTTGCTGAAAGTGAAGAGGACTTAAAGCATTTACTGATGAGGATCAAAGAGCACAGTCTTCGATATGGATTACATCTCAATGTCAAGAAAACAAAAATCCTCACCACTGGACCAGTAAACAACATTCTTATCAATGGAGAAAAAATTGAAGTTGGCAAGGACTTCATTCTTCTTGGAGTAACTATCAACACTCACACAAGCAGCAGTCAAGAAATCAAACGACATATTGCAGTAGGCAAATCTGCTGCACAAGACCTTTTTAAAGTGTTGAAGAGCAAAGATGTCAGCTTGAGGGCTAAGGTGGGCCTGACCCATGCCATAGTATTTTCAATAACCTCATATGCATGCGAAAGCTGGACAGTGAATACGGAAGACCATAGAAGAATTGATGCTTTTGAGTTATAGTGTTGAAGGAAAATATTGAAAGTACTATGGGCTGCCAAAAGAACCAATAGATCCGTGTTGGAAGAAGTGCAACCAGAATGCTCCTTGGAGGCCAAGATGGCCAAACTTCATCTCTTCATACTTCAGACATGTTGTCAGGAGGGACCAGTTGCTGGAAAAGGATATCATGTTTGGTAAGGTGGAGGATCAGAGAAAAAGAGGAAGACTCCCAATGAGATGGATTGTCCAAGCGGCAGCATCAATGGACTCAAGCATGGCAACAGTAGTGAGGTTGGCCCAGGAACAGGCAGTGTTTCATTCTGCTGTGCATACGTTTGCTATAAGTTGGTACCAACTCTATGGCACCTAATAACAACAACAACATACAGGTGGACCTCACCAGATGGAATACACAGCGATAAATTTGACTATATATGTAGGAAGAAGAGATGATGGAGAAACTCAATACCATCATCAGCCAAATCAAGGTCAGGGGCTGACTGTGGAACAGACCAATTGCTCATATGCTAACTCAGGTTAAAGCTGAAGAAAATTATAACAAATCCACAAGAGCCAAAATACAACTTTGAATATATCCCACCTGAATTTAGAGACCATCTCAAGAACAGATTTGACTCATTGAACATTAATGACCAAAGGCCAGAGGACTTGTGGAATGACATCAAGAACATCACACATGAGAAAAGCAAAAAGTTATCAAAAAGACAGGAAAGAAAGAAACAAGCAAAGTGGTTTTCAAAAGAGATGTTGAAACTTGCTTTTAATGTAAAGTAGCTAAAGTGGTTGGAAAAAATATTGAAGCAAAAGAGCTGAACAGAAAAATTTAAAGAACAACTTAAGAAAACAAAGGATTATAATGAAAGGTGCAAAAACTGGGAGTTAGAAAACCAAAAGGGAAGAACAATCTCAACGTTTTTCAAACTGAAAGAGCTGAAGACAAAAAATTAAGCCTCAAGTTGTAATATTGTGGTACTTACTGTAGGACAAGAACTCGACCATAATGTTGGTTTGAACCACAAGGTCAGTGGTTCATACTCACCAGTGGCTCCTTGGAAACCCTATATAAGGTTGCTATGAGTCTCAACCAACTTGACGGCACTTTACAACAACAACATGGGCAAAATATTGAACGATGCAGGAACCATCAAAAGAAGATGGATGGTACAGGGCTCTGGGATACAGGGATTGAAGCACGGTTTGAATGGGCAAAAGGTGGGAAATCAAGTTAAGATGCTTGGCTGTATTTTGAACTTTGGTTTCCCTGGCATACCATTATAAAATAGACACTTGAGGGGGAAAGAAAGGAATAGGTAGAAATATCACCATAGAAAGCTTGTAAGTCCATCTTCAGCTTATAACTGATTGGAATACCTAAAATGGGGCTACAACATGCTGAGTGAAGATGGCTACCTGTGGAGCCTCTGCATTATATAAGACTATAGGTGGAATCCTGAACAGCCTTCAGAATCTTCTGAGGTGGGAAATCTCCACTTGACCTAGGGACAGAAAGCTGTAACACTGGAGGTGTAGCAGAGGAGTGCCAGAGGAACAGCAGCAGCAGAACCAAAACCCAAAGCGCCAGACAGAGTGGTGGTGGGCTTCCCAGCTCATGGAGCAAGTAAAGCTGAGTGCCTTTGGGCAGGAGGATCATTTGTAGAGTGGGTTGTCTCCAGGTGTTTATTTAGGGAGCTATGTTTGCTGACCCACGAACTGAAAGGGCCTTTGAGCTGAGGCTGATAGTGTCGTGTAGTGGCCTTTGGGCATTTATCAACAGCCCTAAAAAAGCTTTCTGATATTGCTAGCAAAGGGCAGAGGCCAAGGACCAGAGAGAGAGGCCTGCCTGCAGGCATGACTGAGGAGACGCTGTCCTGACTTACAGAACTTACAGGCCTGAGCATTCCAAATCCTGAATTGCAACCCTGTACCTTCCCTAACTGTGAATATGGTATCTGAGCTCTGTGTGACTATTGTAATAAATTATCAACCCTAGCTGAGTAGAGAGTGCTGTGGGAGGGATGGTGGGTGCCAATTATTATTATTATTTTTAAGAAGACCCTCAAGAAGATGGATTGACACAGCGGCTGCAGAAAGTGGCTTAAACATAACAACAATTAGGATGATGGCACTGCACTGTGCAGTATTTCACTCTGTTGTGAATAGGGTGGCTGTGAGTTGGAGCTGAGTGGACAGCACCTAACAACAACATAGTTGAACTATGCAGAAACAATCTGAAAATACTGCATTTGTATTTTATGCTGTTGTTGCTTGCTAAGTACTGTTGAGTCGATTCCAACTCATAGCAACCCTGTGTAGGGTTTCCAAGGAGCAGCTGGTGAGCTTGAACCACCGACCTTGCAGTTCAAACGGCTTTGTAGTCTGGTGTATTAACCCAAAGCACCGTAATTACATATATAAAGCTATTGCCATTGAGTCCATTCTGACTTACCATACCCTATAGAATAGAGTAGAACTGTCCCATAACGTTCCTGAGGCTGCTTTCTTTACTGAAGCAGATAGTTATATCTTTCTCCCACGGAATGGCTAGTAAGTTCAAACTCAGCTTTTGGTTAGCAGCCAAGTGGTTAACCACTACACCACCATGACTCCTTTACATATATACAGATATTATTATATTAATATGTAAAATTCATAATAATATATGATAGTGCCGTTTATAAACACATATCTTAAAAATTGAGATTATATACATACTTTTCAATAATCCATTTTTCATTTTGTTGTAAACATTTTAACACATCTTTATTCTCATATTGGATATATTTTTAACGACTTACACTATTCCATGAACCAGACTACCATATTTTATTTTGGCTGCTTGTTTAAAGGATCAAAAACACAGGCTTGGCAAGGAAGTTCCTCATCTAATTAAATGCAAAGGTTTTTAATCTTTTCCTGAAATAAAGGACTACTTTTGATTTTCCCCAAATCTGGTAATGATGAATGGTATCTGAAATGGCAAGGAGAGAGATGGAGATAGAATTAGATTAGAATTATTTCCGGGGACACCCACCAAATAATTTTCACAATCAACTGGTCAGCTTGTTGAGACAAGTACTCATGATCCTTCTGGAAAATGTCCTAATTCATGGTGGTATCTGCCTGGGGCCCTGGCTTCCTGATGTCCCTGCCTGGCATTACCCCACACGGATACTGGCTTCCTTACATCCACACCAAGGATACTCTGACCCTACCCCAGTAGAGTCCCGTGCATGCTCCTCAGCCCCTATGATAGCAATACTGTGTCCCAAAGGCCTGATTTGCAAAGTCTGCCTCTCCTTGTCCAGGCAGAGCGGTGATTATGAACCTGAACACGCAGTGCTTCTCTTCGGATGCAGAAGCAGCCTAGACTGTGTCCTCCTAGTTAAAGGAGTGCACAGGACCTTCTCCAGAGATAGCTGGTCCTTCACAGAAGGCTCTCACCAGACCTAGACCAGAAAAATAATCTCCTCAGACAAGAAGCACAAACCCTTCTCAGGAAACACAAGAGGCCCTCCTGACTAGATTCAAATTGCCTATAGTTTTCTGGCAAAAGGCCACTTTTCTTCCCTTCTCCTCCACTCCCCCTTTCTTGGCTGCAGAAGCTATTTTTAAATCACCCTAGCAACCCGAGGACACAGGCCAGGGCATCCTGTGATGCTGCAGTCACCAGAGACTGAGCAGGGGGGGTGGTGGAGGCACAGAGGCTGCCCTGCCAGGCACATCTGCCTTCTTCTCTCCCTTCCCTCCTGGCAGAAGTGATGCCCTTACAGGACCTAAAGACCCAAGTTCCCTGAGCTACTTCTGCCTCCTTTCTTAACTTGGCTATCATCAATTTGTTCTGAGAAAACATCTCAGACTTCAGCTCCCAGGAAAAATTGTGCTTAGAAACTCGAGATAAAACTGTACCCTCTGGGGAGCCATCACTGTGAGGACCATGTTGCAGCTAAACATCTTGCTCACAGGTACACCAGGGGTTGGAAAAGCCACACTAGGTAAAGAATTTGCATCGAGATCAGGACTGAAATACATTAATGTGAGTGATTTAGCTAAAGAAGGACGGTTATATGATGGCCATGATGAAGAGTATGATTGTCCCATTTTAGATGAAGATAGAGTCATTGATGAGTTAGAAAACCAAATGAAAGAAGGTGGCGTGATTGTTGATTACCATGGTTGTAACTTCTTCCCTGAACGCTGGTTTCATATAGTTTTTGTGCTGAGAACAGATAACAGCATACTCTACAAAAGACTTGAAACAAGGGGTTATAATGAAACGAAGCTACAACACAATATTCAGTGTGAAAGTTTTCAAGTTCTTCATGAAGAAACCAGAGCCTCCTACAGTGAAAAAATAGTATGTCAGTTGGTTAGCAGTGACCCAGAAGATCCAGAGAATAATATAAACCAGATACTGAAATGGATTGAAGAGTGGATGAAAATTATAGCGGTTGACTTTCAAGACTTGTCAGCTGACAGTCACTCTTATTGCTCTCTCTGCCCACATCATAGAAATTGTCCAAGTATCAGTAAAACTTTTATATTAACATTGTGTTGCAGGACTAGTTTGTGAATACTATAAAAGGTTTATACCTAGGCTCTTTTTTTTCTCCATGAGAATGCTAAAGAATCTCAAATATAATGAATGTAACATTATTAAGGATTGAAAGTAAAAACTGTCATTGTTTAATGTTTCAACTATTAAAGGATGAATAAATTTGAACACGTGGGAGGATATCTGCTAAATTTACAAAAGAAGATGAAGATGATCTCTTAAAATAAAACAGCTTAAGAGAAAACAAAAAACTGTACCCTCTGGCCAGGGTGGAGTTGGTTATGGGAGTGGTCCAATAAATGCAACCATTGTCTACAGAAATTTGTTAATCAGTGATAAAACTGACTTAAAGCTGATCTGCCATTTATTACCACCCTGCCCAGTAATTCTTTTGTCAGTGATAAACACTTTTCCATGGTCCATACTTCCTTGTACACACCAAGGCTTTACAAGTTAGCTGCCATCAAGTCGGCACCAATTCATGGTGACTCCATCCACTTACAACAGAACAAAATGTTGCCCTGTCCTGCATCTTCCCCATGATTATCAGCAAGCATGAGTCCATTGTAGTCTTCCAATTTATAGTCTTCCAGCACTGTATTCTGTTGTGATCTATAGAGTTTTCACTGGGTAGTTTATGAAAGAAAATCACTAGGTTTTTCTTCTGAGTCTGTCTTACACTGGAAAACCAGGTGAAACCTGTCCACCATCGGTAACTCTGCTGGTACTTGAAATACAACGGGCATAACTTCCAACATCACAGCATCAGTAAAGCCATCACAGTAGAACAGTAGAACAGACTGACCACAATAGAACAGACTGCCTTCTACCAGTACAATCCCCTTACTCACTCCCTAAGATGGCCCAGCTTCCAACGCCAAGCAGTTGGGAAGGTAAGACACTCCTCAGCTTGGATTCTATCAAGTAATTTGTGTTGGTGCTTGACATATGAATAACAGAGATGTGCCCACATGGACAACTACAACCACACCCCTGTGTTTCTTTCTCTGAGGAACTCTTCCTGCTAAGCCCAGGAAAAATAAATTACTTACTATCCCACCCCTTCTAATGGTGTGCCAAAGTCTGCTGGAATAGATCACTCCTTTGGATCCTGAACAGAATTAGAACTGCATCATTCTTCTGTGAAAGGAATTACCTTTTAAGTAAAAAGGCGCTTGCCTTTCAAGGGGGTTAGACTGATGTCAAGAGAGCAAAGAGAGGTGAAAAGCGGGATTTAAGAAGTGGTCAAAATATCTTTTGATTTGCTTAAAAGTTTTGCCTGGGACCTACCTCTGCAATTTTCAATTCTGACACCAAATTTGTAAACAAAATGAATGCATGCTAAATGAATGAAATCTTTTTGCATGGCCAATGTCATGCCCTATCCCAAAGGGACATTGCATAATTGCAGTGAACTATAATGGTACACATGCACAGGCTAAATTGAAGCCTTTGGTACATTTCCTCTTTAAAGGAATTATATGCACCTTCTGCATTTTTATACTATTCCATCTGGAACTTTTCCCTTAACTGCCCTTATATGTCCCTAAATTGAGCTAATTTGGTAGGAGCACCATTCACATTGAGGTATGTCGGAAGTAACTTGGGATACTAGCAATCTGAAAATACACTTGTGGTTTGGATTAATTTTTCCTTGTTCTATTTTGAATCCTTTCTTTATTTACATAGGAATTTTCTCCTCTGGAGTTCCTAATGTGACTGCTTCTCAGCTGCGATCTAGAAATGGTAAAAAGGGGACTGCTGAGCCACTCAGGACCAAGAAGAAACCCTGCTTCATATAATCTACCCAAGGTCCCTCAGAACTAAGAGACTCTTCGTTTCCCAACTAGAATGCTGCTCCCCACCCACAGGCAACATTGGCTAGAATATCAGGCCTGCCAAAGAAAAAAGCCTGGAATTCTTATTAGATAGCCTTTGAGTGAGAACTAAGATTTGTTTGTTGGGTTTATCTAATTCTGAGTCAATTAGAAGCAGATTTGCTTCTAATTTCCCATACAAAGATGTTCAGAGAAGTCATTTGCTCTCTCTGAAGTTGGCTCCCAAAATTATACCAACCTTCCTTGTGTTTCCTTCATTGTTGTTGTCAAGTGCCGTGGCATCATTTCTGACTCATTACAGATCCTCTATAAGGTTTCCAAGGAGCAGCTGGTGTGTTTGAACTGTCAACCTTGTGGTTAAGCCCAGTGTTTATCCTACAGCACCACATCAGGACTCCTTTGTTTCCTTTGTTGTTGTTGTTGTTAAGTATGGTTGAGTCAGTTCCGACTCATAGTGACCTTGTACAGGATTTCCGAGGAACAGCTGGTGAGTTTGAACAGCTGACCTTGTGGTTCAAACCGACCTGTGGTCCAGTGCATTATCCGACAGTGCTGCACAGGACTCCTTGTTTCCTTTGTTGTTGTTGTTGTTAAGTGCCATCGAGTCGGTTCCGACCCATAGCAACTCTGTATAGGGTTTCTGAGGAGCGGCTGGTGAGCTTAAACCGCCAAGCTTGCAGTTCAAATGGCTTTGTAGTCTGGCGCATTAACCCACAACGCCATACCAGTACTCCTTTAGCTGCTTTCAATATCCTGAACTCAGGTTTTATCTGTGCCCCCTGTTCCTTCATTCTCTTTTGTGGGAGCACAAGTTGCCAACTGAAGCTTAGACTTAGACCTGTGTCTGTTATTTTGTTTATACGACATACTTTTAATATAGGTCAAGGATGAAAATTTCACTCCAGAAAAATACTTTGCTTCCAAAAGTGTTATTTTTATAGGAAGAAATTACAGAAAAACCGCTCTCAGGATAGATGTGTGTCTAGATATGCTATTGTTAGCTGCCTTGAGTTGGCCCCTGACTCGTGGATATTCAAGAATAGGATGAAATGCTGCCTCCATGATCAGTTACAGATTAGGCCACTGTGATCCACTGACTGATACACAGAAGTAGATCCCAGACCTTTCTTCCTATCTGAAACTTGTTCAGCATTTACTTTAGTAACACACAATCCACTGATAGACAAATGGCGGCTGTGCACGAGGTCCTTTGACCAGAAACTGAGCCATTGTCTCCCTCATGGAAGTAGAGACTCCATCCACTGAATCACCACTACCTCAATGAAACCAGCTGAGTAGAATTCTGATGTGGCGCTGTAGGATATGCACTGGACAGTGAACCATAAGGCTGGCGATTTAAATCTACCAGCTGTTCCTCAGAAACCCTATATAGGGTCCCTGAGTCAGAAGCTACTAAACGGCACTTAACAACAACAGTCATAAAACCAGCTGAGTAGAGCCACAAGAATATGACCTACTTGAGTGTTTAGTTCTGCCACCTACTTTACAACAATTGTCACCACTGACAAAGCATTGCCCACCTTCCTCTTCCTTAAACCCTTATGGGACTAGCAGGGCTTTCTTAAAATATTCCAAAAATGTTCACTTTGAAAACTTAACTATTTGGCTGCTCATTCAGTGGGTCGAGTTACACCAAGCATATATATATCTTAAAAGATGTAGAATATGCATCAGGTAAACTTTGTTGTAAGTTTCATGTAATTAACTTACATGTCTATTGTCTATGTAGTCTCATCATTCCCTCACAGTGGTTTCAAAAGATGAAATATCAAATTTTACTTTTCTAGTTTGTCTGATATATGATGTTTACTTAGATGCTGGGTGATACTGTAATAATTCACTCATTACAACTATCTAAATATTTCAACAAAGCCACGAGAGTGATTAACACAGCAATATCCAGTGAATGAACAAAACATGTAAGATTTACTTCTTTTGCACAGACAGCCAGAAACACTGCTGTTAGGGGCCGGCACCTCTGTGGGAGGGGACTACTTATTTTGTTAAGAAGTTGGCATGGAAAGAGTAAATCTGCAGAAAGTCATTTCCTCCAAATGTAAATTTTAAACTTGGTGAACTATAGCTGCTTCAACAGTATACGATTACTCAGAACTCATCATAAAAGTTGCTGCTTTCTATGATCTAGTGATAGAAAATTTGTTTGGCTATGGGCTTCCTGAAACCAAACATCCATTCCATGACATAATCTTAAAAACATTGGATTTCTTTAAATCACTGAATGATTTAGCCCAAACTCTTATTAGTTATTTAAATTATCATTCTTTATATTTCCTTTGGGTGAGGAGACTTATAACTTAAGTACCTAAATATATGTACTTTTAAACTTTACTGGATCTTCCTCTAGATTTTGGCATTTGGTAAACAAACATGTTCATTCTCTTTAGAAAGAGAATATTTTTATAACTGATCCTATTCCATACCAAGACTTTTTATTTATAGATCGAGCTTTCTCCCTTTTTTTTCTTTATCTGACCTCATGTGGCAGCATTTCTCCCCATGTATAAATCCTTCTACTCAATTATGTCTTCCTTAACACTCAGCAACTAGGACTTGATTCATAGTTTCCTAGTCTGTAAACCTCTATGGATTTTATAACAAGGATAATGTTTCTGATACATATTCCGTAACCAGGTAATCTGCACCCCAACAGGGGTAACTGGTATTGCCCAGCCTGTTTTACTTTATTTAACGATACAAGCTGTATAAAGCCAAGATGCTGTAATCTTTTCCCCTGACCTTTACCAATTCCCTTTACTGCCCATTGCTTTATAAATCTAATTTGACTTATCTAAAACACAGAGCTTTATAAAATTATACAAGCATTCATTTCCACTGAATTGACAATCACCAACCAGATATGTTTCATAGTAGTTTCGTTCTTTTCCATATGATAAATATGTTAACTAAAGTCAATCCCTTACTTTGGCTCCCTGCTCTTTTATAGTTTGTTGAATTTGTTTCCTAGGGTTGTTGTAACAAAATACCACAAACTGGATGGTTTATAAGAACAGAAATTTATAGTCCTATAGTTTTAGAGACTAGGAGTACAAACTCAAGATGCCAGCAGAACCATTTATTCTTTGAAGACCCTTATCTCCCCTACTCTGGTAGCCCCAGATGTTATTGGTTTGCAGTTGC